ATTTTAACTGCTGACCTTTATTACGTTTTTAGACATAGCACCTGCCACCTATTTGCTTTTCTCTTATTTTGGGCCTACTCTGCCACCACATCTGCCTAAATTAGGTGGAGTAGATGTCTGGGACCATTTCCTTTATCTAGTGATGCTAATTTTATGAGTAAAAAGGTTGAGAAAACATCAAATCCCAATTTTTTCATTCTTACTCAGTTAATTTTCACAGTCTAGTAATTAAAACCAACTTGGTGGTTGTTGTCACGTGCCCTCAAATCAACCATAACTCATGTTGCTATGGTTAGGTGTTGCTGAGTATGAATTATAGTGACCTTATCAGCAATAGGTCTGAACCTTGTCCTACCCTGAACCATCCTCATCATCTCTGACACGTTCAGCCCGTTGCCATAGTCACTATGTTAATCTACCTGCTTGAGGGCCTTCCTTTCTTTTGACATCCCTCCACCTTCCCAAGCATGTTGTTTTCCAATGAATAACTTCTCCTAGTAACAGGTCAAAAGTATGTGAGGTGAAGTTTAACCATCTTTGCCTCTAAAGGGCATCATGGTTATACCTTCTCCAAGCCATATTTGTTTGTTCTTTTGGCAGTCCATGGGACATTCAGTACTCTGCTCCAACACTATAATTCCAAGGCATCAATTCTTCTATCATCCTTATTCACTGTCCAGATCTCAGCAGAGAAAAGACCTTGGCTCGAATAAGAGGCACTTCAGTCCTTACACTACTCCTCAATAACTTGGAGAAGCTCCTGACTACAAACTTCTCAGTGCAACATGTGTCCTGATCTCCTCACTGCTGGTGCAGAATGCACTGACTGCGGATCCAAGTAAGATCAAGTCATTGACAGTTCAGTATCTTCTCCATCTATCGTGATGCAGCCTATAGGTCCCATGGTGAGAATTTCTATTTTCTTGATGTTGAGTGAGATGCAATCCATATTAAATCCATAGTCTTTGATCTTCTGCAGCAAGCTCTTCAAGCCCTCCTCCCTTTCAGCAAGCAAGCCTGTATTATAAGCATAATGAAGGTTATTGATGAGCCTTCTTCCAATTCTGATACTACATAAAGTCAAACTTCTTGAATAATTTGCCAAACATCCAAACTGAATAGGTATGGAGAAAGGATCAACCCTCACACTCATCTTTCTAATTTTAAACTATGCAGTGGTCCCCAGCTCTATTAATACGACAATCTCTTGGTCTACATCCCTTGGTCTAGCTCCATGGCCTATGTCTCATTGTTGTTATTGTTATGTGCCGTCCAGTCGTTTGCGACTCATAGCGACACTATGTACAACAGCCCTAAGCCGTGCTCTCACTGCCCCTGACAAACCCATCCCGAGTACCCCAGTCACTGAATCAATCCAGCTCATAGAGGGTCTTCCCCTCCTGCGCTGTCCCTCCACTCTACCCAGCATGATGTCCCTCTCCAAAGACCTGTCCCTCCTTACAACATGTCCAAAGTATGTCAGACGAAGCCCCAGAATCCTTGCCTCCAAGGAGCAGCCTGGTTTAATCCTCTCTACGATGAATCTGTTTGTTTTCTTGGCAGTCCATGGTACATTCAATACTCTTTTCCAGCACCACAGCTCAAAGGCGTCAATTCTCCTTCTATCCTCCCTAGTCACTGTCCAACTCTCTGATGCATAACAAGTGATTGTGAAAACCATGGCCTGTATCAGGCGGACCTTAGTCTCCTGAGACACACTGTTGCTATGTCTCATAGCAACCCTATAAATGACAGAGCTGAACTCTGTCCTAGTCTGTGTCATCGCCATCATCTCTGACCTGAGCCCACTGTTGCAGTCAATTTATTAACCCACTGCCTTGAGGGCCTTCTTCCCTTTCTTCCACATTTCTAAGTAGTATGTCCCTTTCCAAGGAATAGCCCTTCTTTTTTTAATTTATTATTAATTTCAATGAAAATTTACAGAGACTTTGGATTTCCATTCATTCACTGTTGCACTTTTCGCCCCTCCCAACCCTCCCACCTAGTACACTATCCTGTTGAAAAAGTAAAAGAAATATTCTTTCCTTGTTTTATAATCCCTCCCCCAGGTCCACTCCAATATGCAGCCTTCACTCTGGACTCCTGTCATGACAAAAATACCTAATCACATATCCCTTTTAAACAGTTTTCTCCCTCATCTATTTCAATGCAGTATACATTATTTATCCCCTCAGTTTTTCCCCAACCCTGATGCTAGTCCTGCTTTACAACCATGGCACCATGCAGTATTTGTCCTTTTGTGACTGAGATACTTCACTCAGCATAATGTCCTCCAGGATCACCCATTTTGAATAATACTGCATGAGTTCCTTGTTTTTCAATGCAGTGTAGTATTTCATCATGTGACTATACCACAGCTTCTCTATCCATTCGTTTGTTAATGGGCACTTAGGTTGTTTCCAACTCCTTGCTATTTATGAACAAAGCCATGGTAAACATGGGTGTGCATATATCTGCTTGGGTGGCAGTTATGGTCTCTTCGGGGTATATTCCCAGTAGTGGAATTGCTGGGTCAAACGGTATCTCTATTTGCGACTTTTTGAGAAAGCACCATACCACCTTCCACAGTGATTGCACCATTTTACACTCTCACCACAGCCTCGCCAGCATTTGTTGCTTGCTGTTCTGTTAAATTTTGCTCTTCTGACTGGGGTGAGATGATATCTCACAGCTGTTTTGGAATAGCCCTTCTTGGCAACATGCCCAAAGTACGTGAGGAGCAGCTTCACCACCCCTGTCTCCAAGGATCACTCCGGCTGCACTTTCTCCAAGGCCAATCTCTCTGTTCTTTTGGCAGCCCATGGGATAATCAGTATTCTTTACCAACACCCACATGGTTTTATATAAAGAAAGAATGTTACTGGAACTCCATTTTCACTTAAAAGTCATTCCTCAACATTTCCATGGCAAACATTTCCCTGTAACACACTGAAGAGTATTCACAATAAATAACTGAGATTAGTGGACATACACACACACATATACATGCCCCAAAGAGCACCATTTAAAAAATACACTGGCCTCAGTATCTTAGAACCTAACTCAATCATTCAATTGGCAGAAATTATTTACCTTTTTTCTTTTTTAAAAAAAAAAGAAGGTTAACTAAAGAAATGCTTTTGGTTAAATAATGTAGAAAGAAGAAAATATATTGAGCCTCTCATTAAAATTGTAAGCATTAAAGAAAAAAAAATAAATCAAGTACCTGAAAATACAACTAAAATAAAGAGATGGAAAACTATTTTAATTCTCCAACAAAATACAGATCTGTAAACATGATGGAAAAGGTCCTTTATAAAATTATTGCAGAAACAGCATTTATGGAGCTGAAAAAAAATTAAAGCAAACTAATTTGGGGCCATTTGTATCTCAAAACTATTAAGATTTATTTTTAACTTAAATGGTTATAAACATTTATTAGGTTTTGTCACATATATTCCATGGTTAGAAATCACTGCCCCGTGAAAGGATTTTAAACCTAATGAGTGAGCAAATCAGGAGTGACAGTCTTACTAATTGAAAACAGTCGTATACAGCAAACAATATCCAACATCAGTGGGGAAAAAGTACTTCAAAAGATCTAAGCAGTCAAAAGAGATCCCAGAATCACAGAAATGTTTAAGGGAGACAAAGCTTGGGAGTCTAAGCATGCTTCCGATGTAGCTGGCATCTTTAAGAAAAAACAAAATTGGGAAATTGAGAACACAAATATTCAACAGAATCTCATAGCAGCAGTGAAATGATATTATTAGAAAAAGAGTGTTCTGGAGAAAATAATAAAATACACCATTTCCAGAGAGAAAAATAAATACTATAATACTCATGTCTTATGCAAGTGGTTTTTTTGTTGTTTTTTTTTTCTTCAATGTGTTTGTATACCAGGACAACAAGGACGGAAATGCTCCATTCTCATTGAACAATGATTTTAGAAGTGGAGAGGTCAAAGTCAATGTGCAGATAAAATTCTAATAAACATAAAAATTATAAAATTCTGAATTTCAGGGCTCTACTCGAAGATATTTGAATTTAGTACATAGCTATGGGTCGGTTCCTACTTGATGGTACACAACAACAACAGTATATCTAAAAAGCAAGCCTTCTCTATGTTCACCCAATTGTAGAGTTCAAAGGGGTAATATAAACACCTCCCTCAAACTACATACACTGGCCTTTGCTGGACACCATCAAGGAATGACAAATCCAGCCATTTGTCTCTACATCCAGTTATCCTATCCTTCACACAAAGATACCCCTGCTTGGGAGAAGACACCTTGACATCAATACATTTCCCCTTTCCTCCTTTCTCTAGTTTAATATATGTTTGCATATTCAGATTCTTTGCAATAGCAGCACAATGGAAGAAATCCAGGTCCCAAAGGACCCTGAAATGCTTAGGAGAAAAGGGACTGCTCTAGACTTAACATGTACTGGCAACTCACTGAAGCAGTTAATGACTCTGTGTGAAAACCAGCGCTCACAGGGACCTCGTGGCACACTCCTGTCCAATCACAAAGCGAAAGCCAGAGGAAATAGCAAGTGAACGCTGGTAGCATTATTCCTCTAGGAAGAGAAGAAAATTCAATTTATCCTCTTGAAATTACTTAGCGGCCTTAATTATTACAAAGCTCGGGAACAAAATGGCACAAGATAGCAATTTCCATTGAAATCCCGATTAAAAGGGATAATTTAGTCATAGGATCCCAAAGATAGCCATATTCAGTTGTCTTAATCATTGCCAGAAGACTTTCCTAAACAGTTTACTTCTCGAAAGATGTGCATACCAGTGCGTTCCAATTCTGTTTATCTCTCAAGCCCAGGCTGTGGAATTAAAGTTTTAAATTGCAAAATAGAACTGACAAAGCTCCCAGAAAGGTTGCTAACTCGCAGTCTTCTTATCATTTTGGTGCGTTTCTTGGGGGCGGGGGGGAGAAAAACTTCACAAAAATTAGCATGTCAAAACCAAAGTTCCTCAAACTCACCTCATAGTAACTTCGAACAGCATTGCAAAAGGCTTCGTCCGCTACGATCTGAGTTTCCCCACTGAGGAAGGCTTGGAATCGCTCCTTCAGCAGCTGCAATTGTTGCTTATTAAGCTGCAAGGGGGGTAAAAAAAGATGATTGTTGATAAATTAACTAACCCACCAACAGTAATGCCTCTTGAAAGTCACCCTCCACTTCTGCTTCATAGATATTGCATGTTTTAGTAATTGGAGGTTTCTGGCAACTCGGAATCAAGCAAGTCTGTGGTTATGTTATGTGCTGTTGATTATGACTCATGGAAACCCTGTGACATGGCTCTGAGCCTGGCCCTAGGCTGTGGCAACCTCAACCTCTCCGACAAACCAGATCCCATTTTGACAGTCACGGTGTCAATTCCTCTTGTCTGGTAAACGGATCATCCTTCTTCCCAAGAATGGCATTCTTCTCCAAGGACTGACCCCACCTGACAACACGCCCAGAGTATGTGAGATGAAGTTTCATCATCCTTTTTTCCAACGAGCTCTCCGGTTGCATTTTCTCAAAAACAGACCTGTTTTTTCTCCTGGAAATCCATAAGCTATTCAATACTCTTCTCCAACACTGCAGCTCAAAGGTACAAATCTTGACTAGGGACAAGTGAGTCTGCTGGTGTCATTTTACTAACAGCAAATGCTCCTTTCGTCTTACTATTGCACATTTTGCTAATTCTCAGGGTATGTAAGCCTTTTTCATTATGCTACTGCACATTTTAATTTTAAAATGCAGCGTCCCTTTTCAGCAGGAAGTAGCTAAGAGAACACGCCGTCCCCTTTTCCTTATGACTCAGGGTGAAGTCTCTCTCAGGGAGGAGTGATAGGGAATGGCAAAGGACACACTGACAAAGAAGATTAATCAGAACTGGCTTTGACAAGCACTGTGGCATTTGGACAAGAACAAACTGGGAGGAGGGTAGAGAGAATAGTGCAACAATGAATGAGTGGAAGCCCAAAATCTCTGTAAATGTTTATGAAAATTAATAAAATATAATTATAGAAAAAAAATGTTGCCATGTTACTGCCCTGGATATAGAATAATCCCGATATGAAAAATAATTCACAGATAGACAATTTGGCGGTGGTGATACTGGAGAAAGCTGGAAAAGACGGATGTGATTGGTGTTGCTTAACTGTACACAGAAAACATGTGGAATTGACTAACATGTTATCTAGCATTTTCCTATCACAATAACAAATGGAGTCAAGGAAAAGGGAGGAGAACTACAATCTAACTTTTCCACCCAAGACGGACCTCCATGATTACTTCCCAGCCTCTTTGCACAGATATGAATAAAGCTAAAATTTCATTTCAATGACAGTTAACTGATGTGCAGAACTACCAGCTGTCCTAACAGAGAAAGCAGAGTTGACTTGCCATCCTGTGTTTGTGTGTATGTGTATAAACTGAATGAACGTTTACACAGCAATTTGGTTTTCCATTCATCCACATTGTTCTCTGTAACATTAATCAAAACACCCACATGTACACAGTACTCCTTTCACTTCTCTTCCCTGTTACTTTCATGTTTGTTGATTCTTCTATCCTCCTCCTCCTTCCCTCATTCAGGGCTTTCTCCTTGGGAAAATGCTGCTCTTTTGACCTTACATGGCTGGTTTACCCAAGGGGCTTGGACCTCCTCAGTGTTACTGAACACCTTGCAGGCCAGTTTGTCATCTGGATGGAAGTTGAATCATGGGGTGAGTTTGTTCTAAGTTCAAAGTGTTACTGGGAACCACAGTCTCAGGGTTCTACCAGCCTCTGGTTGGTTGACCAGCAACCTTAGATTTTTTTAAATCATTAATTTTGGGGTTTTTTTTAAAAATTTTGATCCACATTTCCTTCCTTCTATGCAGCATATTGTGATCCTTTTCAGAGTAGTGAGGACAAGGGTTCTTGAAGAAGAATGGGTGACAGTGGGTCCAGAACAAGAAGAAACAGGAAAGAAAACAGCACACAGCAGAAGGAGTTCTGAGAACGAATCCTCTGAGAAGAGCATCTGTTAGAGACCAAAAGTCTGGATTCCATGAACAAGCACAACACAGCTGAGATAAACAAACAAGCTGCTGTGTGTACCTCCCAGCTTATTCTGATCTCCACTGGGTTCCAACATCGTAAATCTTTACAGAAGGGGACTCGTCCTTTTTTCCAAGGACCAGATGCTAGATTTGAACAGCTGATCTTCTGAATAGTTAGTCTGACACATTATATGCTATGCCACCTCAAACTCACTACTGAGTTAGTTGTGACTCAAGAGTGACCCTCCATCAGGTTTTCAGAGATTCCAAATTATAGGAAAAGTGACTCCCTATCTCTCTCCCAATGAACTCCTGGTGGATTTGAACCACCAGAGATGCATGGCCTCTTAATTAGCAGCACGACACCCTGTAGATCATGCCGCCAGAGATCTACCATTTCACCAAAGGTCCTTAAAATGAGGATAAGGTGGAGATTAACACATGGCTACGAGAAAGGACAAAACACCAGGTAAGAGGCAGCACCGTCAGCTTGTTGGGGGGACAGCTGTGGAAATAGGAAGAGGTAGAATAATCATCACTGAAGGTGGACAAGAGGCGAGCTCTGATGGACCAAAAGTATTCTCTACTTGTCAACCACAAGCAGAGATGGATATGAGATTTGTAAGATGCAGTACAGAAGGAAAACGTGGCATTCCTTGGAAGAAAAGTTATCAATACTTTCAAGCCAGCAACACAAGAAAACCCAAGTTGTTGCCATCGCGTCTATACTAATTCATGGTGACAGTCTGCGGAGAGACTAGAACTGTCCATGGGATTTTCCACACAGTGCAGGTTGCCATATTTTTCTTTCAAGGCACCTCTGAGTTTGAACCACTAAACTCCTGGCTACAAGAGTGGTGCTTCACAAACTGCACCACCCAGGGGCTCCAAGACAATAACAAGAGGGCAAGAAATCAAGCCTGGGGCCCATCTGAACTCAACAACCTCAATTCACTGCTGTTGGGTCAGAACTGGCTCGGAGCTGCCCCTCCAGTGGATTTGCTGGGACTGTAAACTGAGGGAGAGGAGACTGCCCATCACAGAGGTGTGACGTCTGAGTTAGCAGCTCAATTCCCTTCAGACGTGACCAGAATTCCCTATGCAATTCCACAGGCCCATCCCAGGAAGCCGGTCCTGAACACAGAGACATCATCGCTCCCACCAGAGTTAGGATGGACCAGGTCATGGAGAGCCTTTTGTCTTTCTTTCTCTAAATGCTCAAATGTAGAAAGAATGGCACTGTCTTCAAGATTAAAACCACAAATCCTCAGGCGCACAAGGCACAGCAAAAGGGTGAGCATTCCATTTTATTTGCTCCTGATGAGACTTTATTAAAGAACTCGGTCCAGTTCTGGATTCTGCAAAGAGATATGACGCACTTGAAAGGCTGCTGAGGAGAAAATGATTAAAGGATTAGAAAGACTAAACAAAACGGCTACGATTTGGCTTTGAAAAGAAGGCTGACTGTGAAATAAGTTTAAATCTGCTCAAAAAAAAAGCTTTTAAAAATGCCATTCTGATATAAGACAAACACTTTAAAAAAATCCGTTTTATTTAGAAGACTAACAAACAGGGGAGACTGTCATGGAACTGCTGTTAGCAATAACATACCAGTAAAAAAATGCTCTGTTGTGCCCAGACACACAAAACAGAAGGAAATTCTTGCTCTGAGTAGTAAGGAGGGAAGGCCATTCCATTCCTTTATCTCCCTTATCTTGTGTGTCGTCAAGCAGGAACCTCTCATAGCTGACACAGCAGCCTTTTAAGAGGCTTTTTTAGAAAAATTCAGGTTTTTCAGAGGCAGTAAATTGCACAGGAGGAGAGTGCCTGTCCTTCAGGCCTGTTGAGCAGCTTGTGGATTTGAACTCTGTGCCTTTGGAATTGCAGCGCAGCTGAGTAACAGAAGCTGCCATATCCTGCACGGTTCTCACAGTCTCCACAGGGCTCAGGATCCTTCTTGCAGGCTCTGTGCTAACCCATCTCGTTTGATGGTCTTCCCCTCCTTCGAGGGCCCTCCAATTGTCCAGGTGTTGTGTCCTTTTCCAAGGACCGACGCCTTCTGCAATATTCCCCCAAAACATGAGAAGAAATGGCACCACCTTTGCCTCTGAGGAGCATCCCGGTTGCATTTCTTCCAAGACAGACTTGTTTGTTCTTTTGGCAACCCACAGACAATTGAGAAAGTTTCTGAAGGGTTGACACATTGACTGTAACAAAAGGCTGGAACATATCAGAGAATATGAGGATGGTTCTAGATAAGGCAAGGTTCGCCCTTACAGGGGAGCTGACTCCATGGCTCCCAACCACAACTATAAAAATGAGTTGAAACCCATGGACACCATTCTATTTCGTTTTCTGTTTCTATAAGATGGGGGTGTAGGGGAAGGTAATCAGTGGCCTCTGTGTGCGTGAGTGCGTGCGTGTGTGTGTGTGTGTGTCTATGTGTACCGACTCAGTCCATGACATCAGCTTCTGCCAAATGTTTCACAAAAGGAACACGGGTGGAGAGGGACTAAAGTATCTGAGACTGAGGTGGCTGATCACGCTGTGGCAACCAAGTCCCAAGAAAGGGTTCAACCTGTGCCTAAATGGCCAAGCAAGAAAATAATGAGATAAAGAATGACTATTAACTGAGTGAGTCATTAGAAATGATGTCATGCTATTCTCTGACAAGATGAATAAAATGTTACTGTTGTTAGGGGCTGTTGAGTCGAGGATGATTCATAGTGACCCTATGAACCAAAGATCTGAACGCTGTTCTATCCTGTGCCATCCTCACACTTCCTGACAAACAACAGCCCTTTGTGGCAGTCACCATGTGAGTCCTTCTGGTTGAGGATCCTACTCTCCTTCGCCGACCCTCCACCCTTCCCAGTATCATGTCCCTCTCCAAGAACAGCCCCTCCTAGCAACATGCTCAAAGTATGTGAGGTGAGGCCTCATCATTCTTGTCTCCAAAGAGCACTCGGGCTGCACCCTCTCAAAGAGAGACTTTGTTCTCTTGGCCGTCCCTGGGATGTTCAGTGCTCTTCTCCAACACCACAGCTCAAAGGCATCAAGAA